TTTGTGTCTGGTTTACCTAGGACGCCGAGTAACTTTGAAACTATTTGGGTTATTGTGGATAGATTGACCAAATCTGCTCACTTTATTCCTATACGAATGGATTACCCGTTGGAGAGATTGGCAAAGCTGTACATTGAAAGAATTGTCAGTTTGCATGGTATTCCGTCTAGCATTGTGTCAGATAGAGATCCAAGGTTTACTTCGAGATTTTGGGAGAGTTTGCAAAGTGCTTTGGGAACGAAGTTACGTTTGAGTTCTGCTTATCATCCGCAGACCGATGGTCATACTAAGAGAACGATCCAATCACTTGAGGATCTTTTGAGAGCTTTTGTATTGGAGAAAGGAGGAGCTTGGGATAGCTACTTACCTTTGATCGAATTTACTTACAACAACAGTTTTCATTCGAGTATTGGTATAGCACCATTTGAGGCATTGTACGGTAGATGGTGTAGGACGCCATTGTGTTGGTATGAGTCTGGAGAGAGTTTTGTGGTTGGACCCGAGATAGTCCAGCAGACTACCGATAAGATTAAGATGATTCAAGAGAAGATGGAGATTTCTCAGAGTCGTCAAAAGAGTTACAATGACAAGAGGAGGAAAGCACTTGAAATTCAGGAGGGAGATCACGTGTTTCTTCGGGTTACTCCTATAACTGGTGTGGGTAGAGCGTTGAAGTCGCGTAAGTTGACGCCGCGTTTCATTGGTCCTTATCAGATTTTGCAGAAGATAGGAAAGGTAGCCTATCGGGTTACTTTACCGCCGTCGCTTGCTAATATCCACGACGTGTTCCATGTATCTCAGTTGAGGAAATACATTGCGGATCCGTCTCATGTAGTCCAAGTAGATGATGTGCAGGTGAGGGATAACCTGATTGTGGAGACATCACCTATGCAGATAGAGGATCGGGAGTTGAAGCAACTTCGAGGTAAAGAGATTGCTTTGGTGAAGGTAGTTTGGGAAGGACCGACTGGTGGAAATGTGACTTGGGAACTTGAGAGTCAGATGAGGGAGTCTTATTCTGAGTTGTTCGTTTAAGGTAATTTTTGAGGGCGAAAATCTTTTAAGTGGGAGAGGGTTGTAACATCCCAATTTTTTATAATTAATTATTTATATTAATTAATTGATTTATTGGGATTGTTTTAATTATTGGATGATTATTTAAATGAATTGGTAGATATTTTGAGGGAAGAAAATATATTGGAGAGAAATAGAAGAGAAGGATATATAAGAGGAAAGTGGAAAGAAAAAAGTAGAGAAAGAAAGAGGAAGAAGAGAAAAGAGAAGGAAAAGAGAGAAAATCTTGGAAAGCTCAAGAACAACTTCTAGCTTTCGATTTAATCGAGTAAGGGTGTGAAATTTTAATATCTTATCAATGTCTATGATTATGTATGTGTGTTTGGATTGTTTGGATGTTTTCCATCTTTTTCCATTCTAGGGCAGAAATGAATTTAATCGATAGAATCGATGTTTGAACGGTTAGAATCTAGAATAAATGGTGTAGATTAGTCGAGAAATGTTAGACTAAGACTATTGGAACTCGTTGGAATTGAATCAGGTGATTTGTGATCTTCTGATGATTTTTGGACAGTTGGGGTTTTGAACAACGCAGACGCTCGCTAGCACGTTCGCTAGGCGAGTAGGGTGGCGAATGTTCGCTAGGCGAGCTGGTAGCGAGCTAGTAGAGAACGGTCCCCGACTTGGGCAGAATGGAAATGATCCCCTTCGCTGGTAGCGAGTGGTGTAGCGAGTTGTTCGCTAGGCGAAGCTCTAGCGAGCCAGTAGCGAATCTTTCCAGTAGCTTCTGTTTGTCTTCGCGAGCTTGCTCGCTAGGTGAACAGGTAGTGAGTATTTTCTAGGACCTCGCTAGGCGAGTGGTCCAGCGAGCGTGACAATGTTTATTTTTCTTGTTGTTTCTATCTAATGTCGATTCTCTTATTCGAATGTGATTAACCCTTTCTTTAAATGCATAGTTGTATGTTGTGATATGATATGTTGTGGGTAGCCGTATAGCGTGAATCCTAGATTGTGGAATCGATTGTGAAATGCGGTCTTTTGACAAATATATGCACTGTTTAAATTAATTAAAAGTGCATGATGAATGTGATTGAGTTCGTCGTCGTTGGTGCGATATTGTGAATGCATATTGATTGTATGCGATTGTATGTGAAGAATGCATGAGAACATATTAGTGAATATGTGTGCATTGCTTGATAAATGTAGTGATGGTGTTAAAAGTATGAATACTTTGATTATTGTGAAATGTGTTGTGTGTGCAATCATGTTATAATTCTTGTGTGATGAATTATTCGAGAATGCATGAGATTAAGATGCGAGAACGGTCTTAAGTGCATTTGGTTGTTGATTGCATGCGCATCATTGTTGTCAAGAGGCAATGCTTGCTAGTTTCGTGGAGACTAGTGACTTGTCCTAAACCTAGAAGGGTGGGTTTGAAAGCTTAGGGGACGGGCTTTTGTTTGTTATCGGTCTAGGGGACGGACCCGGTTTTAATGTAAAAACCGAAAAATGATAACAAGTGTTGGTACCACATGACATTGAGTTGCATTGAGTCACATGACATAGGTGTAAATGTTGTGTGAAAATGTGCTTGTATATGAATCGTTGAATTGAGGATTATGGATGTGTGCATGATGAAACATGCTTGGTGATTATCCATATGTGTTTATATATATATTGTGATGTATATGATGAGCTATAACGAAATGTGGTGAGAAAATGTGGAATATATGTATTTTGTGCATGTGTATATATATAATTATATGCATTGATTATTATAATAATATTTCTCACCCTTCTGCTGTTTTATAATGCTCTATGAGGCATTGAAGACTAGGTTTGCTGGAGGTCTTTTGTGAAGTGTAGCTTCATTCTTTTGGTCGGTTAGCTCTGATATGTAGCACCGGGTAGCTAGGATTGTATAGAATTCTTTTGTGATACATTTGTATATGTATCTGCTGACAAATATTTATGTAAACATGAATGATGTGGTGAATCAAACTAGATGATATGTATTTATATGATTACATGTTCAAAGTGATTCAATGTTTAGATTTTCCGCTTTTAATTCTAATTATTGAGATGTGGGTGTAAGGACTAAGTTCCCTGTTGAAAGCTACCCCATTGTTGCATGTCTTTTACAGAGCAGGTGTTGTATGTTTCGATTTCACGTATGATGTGACATACCTCTTTTATACCATGTTTAATCTTACTCTGATGAAATTTTAATATGTGTTTAATTGATTTATTTGATTACTTGGGGGTATAGAGTGGGGGTGTTACACCATTTGATCTTAAAGAAATTATTAACACAATCTTAATTGAGAAAAGTATAAAAGTAACTGCGAATGTTAAATACCACAATTCACCCCTCCCCATTTTCTTGTGTTTGAAGTCACTTGTCCAACAAATAGAACCTTCAAGACATTGATAAACACCACAGGAGTATAGTGCTTGAAAGTTATAGTGGAGGACAAGAAAAGTTGGCTATAGCATCTATGGTTTGGTCACCTTACACCATAACATAATAGCTTAGCTAAAAGAAGAATTAAAACTATCTTAGATATGACCTAATGTATTACAAAATTAGGTATGCTAAAATTATTTTGGTGGTGAAGCAGCTAACACTAAACATATTAAATATATGCCTAATTAACTAGAAGGTTACAGAGAAAAGTACCTGAAGAGGCTTCGAGTGGCAAGAAGCCTAGTGTGCATCATTTTAAAGTATTTGGATGTAGGAAGTTGGATGATAAGAGAACACCAATTATTTTAGGTTGTTATGTAACTAGTGCATCATTTAAGAGTATTTTGATGAAGAAAGTTGGATGATAAGAGAACACCAATGATGAGTTGAAGTCAAAAAAGTCGATCAAAGTTGTAAATTGATAACAAGCCAGTTATCAATCTAATAAAGAACTCAATTTTTTATTGTAGAAGCAAACATATTAAGGTAAGGTTCTAATTTTTAAAGCAGCAAGTCAATCATGAAAAGTTAGAGGTTGAACTTTACTCTTCTAACTTGTAAAAAAAAATTCATAAATTTATAAATAAACAATTTGAAAGATTTAATCATCTAATAAACAATTTTATCTACGAAAATTTAAATTTATTTAGAATATATTATTATATTTCAAATAATTTTTTTAAAAATTCTTTTTAAAGTAATGTGAAAAACTTATGAAGAGATGAAAAAACTCTAAATTAAAAAAAAAATTAACATTATTTATTTTATTAGGGTGAATGCACAATTGTAATTGTAGGAATGAGGTAAATTATTCATCTTATTAAGGTAGAGATGCTTGAGTATATCGAAACTAAGTGGATAAAAAACTCTCACGGAAGAAAAAATTCTTGTAAGAGTTCTCCAATAGTTAGAGTGCAATCTATTTAGTAAAGAATTCGATATTTCATTACAGATTCTATGAGGAGAAGGAGATACTTTCACTTTAAAAGAGGAGGAGAAGGATATTTGTCTGCTTGATTCAACCCCTCCCTCCAGTATAGGATCCACAAATTATTCAGAAAAAGGAACCGTAAAAAAAAAAAAACTGTTTGTATTCAAGTACGTAATGGTCTTTGGCAATTATGTCCAATGTGTATTACGAAGGGGGATGATCCCTAATTCTGAAAAGCTGAAACAGTAGCAGTGGAAAAAGAAAATGTAACGCATGAGAAACAAAGCGACAAACACGTTAGAGCAGCTACCAAAAGAGTAGGAGAATCTGGATTCAAATAACTGAACTTATTATTTTGATTTATGTTGTTTTAATAATACCCACTTTTGTTACACTACTTTTTCTTTAAAAAACTGATGCTGTCTCGAAGTACCATTCATAGAAATCATTTAGCAAGAAAGAATCAAATAAATAAATTAATACTGAAGGAATTCCTCATTAAAACTAGAACCTATTATTATTTCTCTGATATAAATATAATATATATGTATACACGTACAAGGCCAATGCCCTGGGATGAGAAGGAACTCATCCTTGAACATCATCATCACCTGCCTTAACAAATCTCCCTCTCACTCTCTTTCTCGTATCGGCCCTAGCCTTCCTTGATTCATATCGAATGTGTTTGTCAAACCTGTCCAAAGTTTCATGCCACAACTTTACATTCAAGATAACAAAAATGTGACATTTCTCAAAAAAACACACACAGAAACAAACCAAATGTACCTTCGAGTTTTCTTCTTCTCCTTATAGCGTAACATGGCATCCCCTCTATTCCTTGCTTGCTCTTCCAAGCTAACCTTGCCATTTATGTTGCTAACATTTTCACCCCCACTCAAAAGATACTCCATAACAGGTACATTATCGGCAGCACTACTGTATGTTAAGGATTCAACTAATTTAGACTCAGTTGGTAACCCATCCCTAGTTTTCTTGTTGCTTTCTACTTTCTTCTTCACATGACTTGATGATGACTGATCCGAATGATTCTGCGAATTTTGCAAAGACAAACAACTGATCAATCACGAGTTCCTTTAAATAAACCAGGCATGATAGAAACATGTAATAATGTAGTAAAGAAAAGCCAAATCATATGGAAATAGTACATATAATAAAATACTATAATATGTTATCTAACACTTAATGGTGAGTTGTTGTAGCTTTAAAGTTGAAATATAGGTACAACTAAAGTTGAACTTTTTCTATGAATCTTAGGGCAATAAAATCTTGCCGACCTCAATTGTCCCTCCCCATGTGAACTCTGTGCATTGAATCAAAACAGTGTAGGCCCACAATTTTTGTCTATATGTGTAGGTATCATTTTCAAACTTACTAATCCACATCTGCTCAACTTTCTTTTTCAAAATTGGTTTTTTACAAAAAGAAAAATCCAAGGTTTCATAATAAGTACATTAAACTCAAAGATGCAAATAGTAAGAGAAGGCCAGAATCGAAAAATATATCTACAAACAAAAAATATCTTACATTTCTAGATAGAAAATCATCACCAAATGTTGAGTAATTCTTATTATGCACATCCTGCAATGATTTTGGAACTACTTCTACACCATCATATGTCATATCTCTAGATTTCTGTAATTGAAAATCCCAGACCTGCAGAAACACAGAGACTAATTATAGCATGTATCAGGATAGATATTAGTTGAACCAGTACACCATTGCAAATTCAATTAATGCAGATTGAAAAAATCAATGGCTTTAAATGGCCCTATCTTTAGGACAGGTAAAAATATTTCAAAAACAGTTACTACAAGTACAGGGAAAACAGTAAAAACAAAAACATTTTTCCAAGATCTCAACAGGGTTTTTACATTGAGAATGAAACTCTTCCTTCATATGTTGGTTTTCTTCAATCAAACAGTCACAGAAAGCTGCAAGTAAGATGGCTATCAAAATGATAATAAAAGATCACAGTGCATTTAACTTAAGCTAGAAAATGAAGAATTTCACTGTCCAAGGTCTCAAGAGCATTATGTTTTTCAAGAGATTGAAGCAACCTTACCCTACATTACTCAATAACCAACCAATTACAATTAACAATCCTAATTGATTAAGGTTTTCAAAGAATTGATTCTACTTGAAGCAATGATGTGTAGTTTTTGAGTTTAAACATAATTTTTACACTGAAATTTACTATTTACTCACTTTTGAAGGAATTTATCAAAACATAGTTCATCTTACTTTTCAGATAGAACATTATGGCAGAAGTTGCTCTATGTAGCATCTTACTTTTCAGATAGAACATTATGGCGGAAGTTGATCTATGTAGCCGACCACATTTAGTGGGATAAAACTTGGTTGTTGTTATATAGTTGATCTTACTTTTCCACTCACTTTTAGTGGTAATCAATTTTCTTCACAGCACACTCAAATAGACGCAAATTCAATACATTATTTTATGTGGTAACGCAGCAATTAACTAGTTTATAGATTATTCACAACTTTTAGCAGACATAAATCTTGTAAAGTTACACTTGATTATTAGAAAAATCAAGATTATAATACTATTTGTTTGCATGATTAAAAAAGTTAATTTAAGTTAGTTTACATAACGCAGAAATTAACAAACCTGAGGAGGCTGATAAGTAGGGTTACGATTCCAGAGAAGAACACCAGATTCATTTCCATAATCGTTACTACTTTTCTTATCACCGACATCAAATTCCGATGAAAAATTGAGCAAAGAGGTAAACGGAGTTTGCTGAAGCAACAACAAATCATCAACTTCATTGCTACAATCACTGAATCTACAATCATTTTCAGGTTCCAAATTCCTCTTTCTCTTTGCAACTTCCGCCACTTGTTCGTACAACTCATCTCTATTCTGAACAACAGGAACAACAGGACCTTCAAAATCCGTCACAAAAACCGCGTCGTTCGGCTTCAAATCAAGCCCTAACGCAACGACAATCTCGTGAACGGAAGGACATCCGGTGAGACCGTCGAGACGGCGGCGGTTGTGGTTATGGTGATGGGAAGAAGAAGAAGAGGAGTCGCCGCCGTGAGCGTCCCAATCGCAGCGGAGGCATTGAACTAGGTTATCGGTGAAGCAACGAACCGAAGCGGCGTCGTTTTGGCAGTTTTGACAAATCTGATACCGCACGTGCTTGAGCGCGAGTGCGTTGGCAGAGTGCACGTGCTGGTCGCAAACTAAGCATAGTTTCGCGGAGTCCGGTCTGCAATATAGAACCGCGCTTCTCGTGTCGCAATAGTCACACGGAAACGACATCGTTTCAGATAATTTGATTGTGTTTGAAATTTGAAGTTGTTGTGTATAATGAAGTGGATTTAAGGAGAATCAGAATAGAATAGAGTAGCATAGCACATGATAATTGATAAGCATGAGGAAAGTGGAATGAGATGTGGATATGTAGTTAGGATGGAAGGTAGTACTAGTTAGTGTGTAATGGGGTGGGGACAAGTAAAAAGATATTTTGGTCACTTTTTAGATATGATTGATTTTGAGGTGTGAATCTTGCTAGCATGTGCTTACTCTGTTAGTGTTAATACTATCTTGCATCTTGGTTGATTGTGGTATGTATGTATGTACAGATTCCGTGCTGTCACTCTGTAGTTTTGTTTTGTTTGTTGGAGTGAGAGGCAGTGGGACACTTTTTGGACTTTGGGCTTTTGGAGGTAGGTGCTTTTTGGTATTTGGGCTGGTAGGAGCTGTTTGGACAAGTGGTTGTTGTTTGATGGATGCACCTTGGTGATTCATTCACATGGTTAGGTTTTTACAATATGTCATTATTTTAATGTTGGGTTAGAATTGATGGAATCGAATGGAGATGAGGGAGATGAGATGGGATGAAATGAGATTTTATTATTTGGATCATTTAAAATTGGATCGAGCAAAGCGAGTTGAAGTGGTATAGATTTCATTCCATTTCATCTTTTACCACCATATATTTTTCTTTTCGATTTAGGCAGAATGTAGAATTTGTTTTGTTCTGTAATATAATTTTTCAAATGATAGAAGAGAATCTATATTATGATTCGTTTCATTCCATTTTTTTTCATCATGTTCTGTTCATTTGATGGTATTTAAACATAGCCTAAAAATTGTATTTAGGGATGCTAATTTGCATTTATAGAGAATGTTTGTCAGAGTCATTCCATTAGGTTCTTGTAGGAGGAGAATTCTTCTCTGCGAAAATGGGATACAAAGAGAAAGTTTTTATGCATAGTTAAAAGACAAAGACAATGGTCATAACCTCTCATGTCCCACGAGAACTATGTCCTTAAATGATGCACTTAAGCATATTATTATGGGTATGGGGTAAGACTTAAACCACTTAGATCTTATAGCATCTAAGATTGAAAGCAGGTCAGTTAAACAGATCATTGGATTTATCCAATGGTCATTTTAAGATAATCAAGAACGCATATGCTTGAGGAGTGGTCCAATGACTTCGGGTCCACATAATGTTCAAAACTTAAATCTTATTATATTGAGGTCTACCAAACACCAAAGGATTATAGGATCAAGAGGGTAGTAAAATATATTTTAACATCAAAGAATATAAGACATTAACAACGAAGAATGTTATAGTATTGTGTAGTCATAATTATGACCTTCTTGGAGGTACGTCTAATCAGAGATGATAGGACTCTGAGGACCGTCATATCATACTTTAAAATATATGTCGAATCCTAATTTTTGACCTTAAGATTCCACCTCCTCGTTTTTTTTCTTGTATTTTATCTTTATACTTTTATGCGTTTATTACGACCAACCAATGTGTGCAGATGCAGTAATTCCTAGTGGACCAGCATTCATTCTCACAAATCTAAAGAGGGTCAGTTGGGCTTGATTCAGTTTAAATTGGAGGTTTTGTCGGTATCTCCTAAAAGCTTCAGTGCGTACTCATGAAGAGAAGTTGGATTTAAGGGACAGGAGTCTTTGTTTTATAAAGAATTTAATTTCCCTTTGTTGATGCCCCGAAACGATGATGATTTAAAGATTTGATTTGAGCTTAGGCGTTAAGTTTTCAAAGTAAAGTTCAAGATTTATGATTTCATTATGAAGGTGGAAGAGTTGGAACATAATTCATCAAGTTTTCAATAAATCCTAGTACGTTGCAAAATCAGGAGCTTAGAAATTCAAAATCTAAAATGAAAGGAAGATCATTTTGAATATTTAGAAGTCATCATCAAGGTTAAATGTTACAAATAAAATATTATGGTTGGCATAATTATTTAGAAGAAGCCCCAAAGTTTATTCAAAGTGTTCCAAGATTAAAGCTTGTTAATTTCTTTTCCAGAGCAAGTTCTTCAAGAGGGTCTACGGTTAAGTGGTTTCAACATGCCTTTATTTTATAAATATTACAATAATACAATGGATCCAATGTGGCTTTTCAAATCCATTACTTCACAAAGCAACTTTAAAGTACAGTTTCCAAGACTACAAATGTGGCAAATAAATAAAATTCAAGGTTGTTACTGTCGAAATGCAATCCAGCGCGTTAAATCGTAAAAATCTTGCCAAGTTACAACACACAAGGTTCTATTCTTACTAGATTACAAGAGTTGCTACAAATACCTTCATGCTACCGTTAATTGCCTCAAAACGAGAAAAACTAAAGAACTTATGATCCACATTTTTTCCAAAGAAGCGCCCTATTTATACTTCCTAAGATACTAAGTGCAAACTATAAGCCTCAATCACACTGTAAACTACCTTTTTATATACAATAATCCCCGGATTGTATCAGATGATGACAAGCAAGTTTCATTGGCACAAACAACCAACCTTCAGTATCAGCTAATAATAACTACAAGCGATGTGACCAAACACCACCTCCACGAGCCCAAACGTAAGTTTCTTCTACAGACCGTCGCTTGTGAACCACGCGTCTTCTTCTAAACAATACTCCAGAAAACCTTGTGTTCTTTCAAAGACACCATTTAAAATTGACTTGCCAGAGGTTCCTGCACATAGTAACTAGTTGTTAGACGAAGTAACGATATTTGCTTTAAAGCATTGAAATCTGAACAAAGCTAATCAGACCAATTCCCAAACCATCTTAAATGCATCGGAAGTATGCAGATACAACAATCTTGCTCAATACTCCACCGTTCCACGAGTTTCCTGTGCCTCTCCCAATTCCACCTGCAGGATACGATAAGTCAGGGAGGTTATCAACTCAGTACAGTAATTGCTACTGAACAAAGAACGGATGAAGATTACAACCTAGTAGAAATTGTGGCCATGTTAATCCCCCTTCTTGATTTAAATCCCAACCAACATCATTTATGTTGAGCATGATAATGAAGCACCGCGTCTACGACCTCATTCGTTACAACTTTATACACATCAACTTTGTTTTGAACGATCACAGCCACCTCCCCAAACAGCTCCAAATGTTGTTGTCCAGTATACATGAAACAAGAACCAATAGGTTATAAACATGGAAATCCTCAAACAGAATCTACATAATCAGTGAAGAACAAGGAAAATCAGAACAAGCAACGTCTAAAGCAGTAAACAGGAATGTGATCACAAACATTATTTTCCCTCTCCAAATAAGTTATCAGCACGTTGAAATTGTTTCCAAAACCGAATTTCGGCATGTTACGAACATGTTCACATCAAAAGGATATGTTATCAAAAATTTCACTTACAATCAGGCAGATCAAAGCTAGCATTCGTACACATCAACAAAATTAAAAGCAGGCATTAAGGGGAGGGGGAACATGTTCGAACATACAAGGAAACAACTTTATCACCATTAAGTCACCGTCTGAACGTAGTTATTGCCTTCCATCTTGGCTTCAGAGGGAATCAAATTCAATAAGCAATTTAAATACAAATTTGAAGGGAATTCTTGGGGGGAAGAGGTGTCGCAAAAAGACCTTACAACTTATCACAGCATGGATGCGTTCAAAAGGTTTTACCTCTTGTCAACAATGTTGTAGCCACCACCATCTCCGTCAGACCTTGTTGTTGTAATTGTAACACCCTTCTAAACCCCACGGAAAATATATGAATAATCAGAGTAAAATATCATGCATTCACGAAAGGGCGTCACACATAACTTTCAAAACATCAAAAACCATCTGTCATGCTCATTAACACTTTAATAAATAATTATGCTTTTCAAGATTTCACTTTGCATGTAGCAGCAAATTCAATTTATATTCATAATTCTCTTAACAGAACATTTGTGTTCATCACATAAATCAACATTACTTAGGCATTAAGGCCAACATCATAATATTCCAATTAATATAAAAGCATAACGTAGAGTACATAAAGTATCTCTAAAACATAAACCAAACGATCCCAGTGTTACATGACCAGAGCATGACTCGACCCAACATAATTAAATTACTAAACAACTACACCAATAGCGACTTCGCAACTACAAGCAATTCTACTCTTGATACCTGCACGATGCCAGATAGGACATCATTCCAACAGAAGGGTGAAAAATATTATCATAATAATCAATGCATATAATCATCATTCTCACCACAAGTCATCCATATACGTCACAATGTATATATAAATATATGGATAATCACCAAGCATATTTCCTCATGCATACATCCACAATTTCAATCAATCCACCTAAACATACACATTATGTTTAATTCACCACAATTCATATAAACATATACAATCATGTTTATTCATCAATTCATCAGTCAATATCATTCACAATTACACATTCACAACCCGCCATTCAACAATTTAAACACATATGCATACCTCATACAACAATTATTTATGCCATGAGACTCACATAAAACTCATCAATTCCCATCAATGCCTATTTAGAATTATGGATACATCGCTTATACCCCACCAGGAACAACATCTCGGTTGTTCTACCCCGGCGATTACTACACTAGGAACGACACCTTGTCATTCTACCCTAGTGATTACTCCACTAGGAACAACATCTTGTCATTCTACCCCAATGATTACTCCACTAGGAACAATATCTTGTCATTCTACACCAGTGAGTACGAGTTTTGCACATACACCTATTTTCATAAAACAATCATATGCACTTAACACCGTTCTCGCATCTTAATCTCATGCATACTCAAATAATTCATCACACAAGAATTATAACATGACTGCACACACAACACATCTCATAATAATTAAAGTGTTAATACTTTCATTTATCAGCACTACATTCATCAAGCAATGCATACATATTCACTAATATGTTCCCATGCATTCTCAAATACAATCGCGTACAATCAATATGCATT